TAGCCCAACATTCGTATCCGTATAAGAAAACAGACCGCACAGATGCACGGTAAGGATACATTTACCTGGATGCATAAACCAAACAAAACGGCCTAGAAACCAACATGCGCAGAATGAACCTGCAATTCACACAACACAGCAGCCGCCCACTCATTGTACTTAGAATGCAACGACACGCAGGCCACAGTTGACCGCTCAAAGGCCAGAGACATGCCGACGCAATCCGGCTCCGGTAAACAATGTGGAAAAATGATGTCAGAGAAACAATGGCACGCAACGCGGATGACTGAACAAGTCATGCCAGTGAAACATAATGACCCTAGATGGCAAACAGCCGCTTACTAGGCACGGCCTGACGGCTTTTTTAAGTGTAACAACTGACAGGTATGCAGACCGCAGATTGCACGGGCCCCTATTCTCTAGCCCCAGAACCACACTTGGTTGGACACGAAACAGGCATTTAGTGAAAGGCCGGCTGAGTACGAGGGAATTCATATTCCCGTGTCGTAACCCAGGCTTGCCTACCTAAGACTGACTAGAGAGAGGAACTGTGAATAAAGACAGCACACGAAGCGCCAACAGTGGCTTAGGTACTGATTCACCTAAGGTTAATGCTAGTGCAGAACTCTAACCATCAGGTATGCAACCTAGATGCAATAGCATTTTCAACACAAGACACATTATTCAAGCACTTGCCGGCGTCCAGATATAAATCATTTGATGCCTGAGATGGCATGGGTGAATGAAGGGATCGACCGCAGGGCTAACGGAAACGTTGACAGAAGACGATCGAAGGAGGTTTAATGGTGTGCGTATGGTGCAGAGGTAACTGAACATCTACATCAGGTGAACACTCGTAGGGCAAAAAGCTGCTCGGGAATGCACATAAGGGGTTTTCTGCGCATGCTTCCCTCCTCAGAAGAAAATTTCGTGGAACATTAGGCAAAATGGGGGGGTGCCTGTGTTTAGCATAACATCGTTGGGGATAAAGATTCAAAAGACCTAGCAGGATTAAGAGGAATCGGTAGATGGGGATGCCACGACAACACCAAAGCGCTCTCGGTGACGAAAGCCTAGTTAAGCGGACGGAGTAAAGGTAAGGACAGAGATTACTCACCAGGCAATCGTCAGCAGCGTAGAGACGTCTAGCCAGGAGCTTGCCCGTCTGGATGGCTACTGGGGTCAACTTGAGACCATTAGCGTTGATGTCACCAAGAGCGTAGATGTTTGCAATATTGGTTCGTTCCTCCTCGTCAGTCTCGACGTAATGCGAACTACAGTATAAATATGGCTAATTAACCAATGAAATACATTGCCAGTGATTAATCCAACCTTTAAAGACTGTGACAGATGAGATGAAGTCTGCTTGCAAAAGGAATGAGCGAGCACCAATGCCTGCACGCCTCCGGATATGCGATGGAAAAAGAAGACGATGGTCGGCCAAACTGGCTGAACGGCAGCAGACGTGCTCTGCCTAGAATTCTACAAGCCTAAATACAATGACCAGCGTAACTGTCCGTTTAAGTACTGCAAATCAGGGGCACCCATCAATCAAGTTCACATTCGAGGTGGAAACGAAGGGCTCGCTTCCCCTCTTAGACATACACATCTCGGCCGAAGCCCTGACCGTGGCCTGCGAAGAAGCCCATGTTGGAAGAAAACATAGTTTCACAATATACGAACTTCCGTAATTTCCTACCCCGCAGGCCAGAAGCGCAATTTATTTCCTTGTTTAGCATGAAGTTCCATAAATATTTGTTCGGCAGGTAGCATCGAGGAGCCTTAGAAGACCCAGAACCTGTTTCCTTCAAATTGCTCTTCGAGTTTACTTCTTACAAAGAATACACAGCCTACCACCGACAGGCGATAAGTTTAACAACTTTCACATAACACCATCCCCGCCCCCCACCCCCGTGTACGCCCAGCGGCTCCGCCAAAATGCAACTGTCAACTGACATACAACAACCGCCCGAGGCCTTGTTTTGGGAGTACTTAATACGTGTGACTAGTTAAAAAGGGATGGGGGAAGAGAGGCAAGCAAAGGTAGTAAAAGCCCCCCCTGCAATAAAATGTCCGCACCACCCAACAGGGCGAGGCAGGTGGGAAGGCTGGAGAAGGGAAGAGATATGACAGCCGGCCAGTGGAAACTTACTTAGTAAGTTTTACTCCAACATTGCTGAGACCCATAGAGGTGGTGCAGGGGTCACGACCTATGGCAAATATAACCTGCAGACGAAAAAGACACCGTGAGGGGTGACATTGAGACAGATTCAGCGGGGGGGGGGCAGAGGGCGTATTCTACAGGAGTAGGCAGCTGAAAAGTCTAGGGCCTACCGTGTCAAAGTCCTCCACAAAGACCTGCTTTGATTCGTTCTGAAAGACTCCAGATACTTCATATTGATCCAGTTCGTGATTCTCCCCGCCTACGGACTCCTTCTTCTTGATCTGCAGGGAAGCGAGGGTAGATATACACATAAGGTTTGAAAAAAAA